GAGTGACAGGGAAAAAAAAGGAGATCGTTTGTCAATTTCCCGGATCGTTGCTGATTGGTTTCTAAGCCGGGTCGCACGTTCATACTTCATGCGTATAAAACTCCAGAGACGGGAATGATGCGATGTTAAATACAGAAGTAATGATCCGGAGATTGTGAATTTTAAATTATTGAAAAAAGAAGGAACAGATTTGATTCACCTGTGGAACTCATTATTAATGTAAAGTTAGATGAAGCTTTAAAACGTAGGTAATTTAATTTTAACTACACTGTTAGATATCATAGGAGTTATCAATGATAAGTCCTTAAGTTAAAAATAATATTTTATTATTTTTAACTTCTATGTCAAAATGTATAAAATCAATCAGTTTTTGTGATTAATTTTAAAGTAAACAATTTTCATATTAACGTATGCACTTAATAAATAATAAACTAAATTTCTCTCTCTCTCTCTCTCTCTCTCTCTCTCTTCATTATTTTATAGTTAAATTAACACACTGAGTACACGGAAAAAAAGATTAGCTGCCACAGCTAAAAATTAGGTATAGCAGCTAAATTCAGTAGCATTATATGGACACTTAACGTCGTATCTGCGAGGTCTAATTTCCATTAGCTGTGAGGCCTAAATATTATCATTGTAACAGACAAGCATTTTGCTATTATGTCGCTGTATTGATCATTGCAGCAAATGTTTTCTGTGTAACAGACAATTTGGTAGCAAGTACAGTTTCAGCAAACCATATTTAACTGTCGTAGAGACCATTTTCTTTTACATGGACATATCCGATAACTGTGACAACTAACTTCATATTGCTAAATAAATCGATCTGTAACAGATATGCATATTTTGCTATCACGTTTTTATATTAGCTATAGCAGCAAATCCTTTGTATGTATTAGCAAATTCATAGCTATAGTAGCTAATGCAATTTCAACTAATCAAAATTAGCTGTAAACCAGAAACATTTTTTTTCCGTGTAAGAATTAACATTAATACCTATAAAAATGAGAACACAATCAATACTAGAAATGACCTATAAAAATAATTCAAATTGGGTATAATTTGACATCAAATTTCTAAAATCAGAATGTAATACGTTTAAAAAATGTTCATTCAGATATCTTTTAGACACGCATATCTTTAAGGCAGGGAGAGCACAGATTCTTACGTATCGCATAACGCATAAGGCATAAGAGAATCAACCATTCAAAATCTTTTATTTCATGGAAAAGAAAAAATTGAAGGACTTTGATTGGTTTATTTTTTTTTATGCATTATGCAAGGTTTTGTGCATAATTATCCTGTTCTTAGTATATTTCAATAATAGCGATTTATGAATGGAGCAATTATTTATCGATTTGTTTGTTGTTTTTACGTTTTTGTGAAACGACGGATCAGTATCAGAAACAGTAAGCGGATGAAGGCTTACAGCATTGCGAATTGGTAAAAGAGGCTGTTTATGCATTCTTGGCGCGAAGGCAATCGCGGGGATGGCGGGTGTTGGATGCCGTGCGAGAACCAGACAAGAGAACAATTACGCGCCGTCAGTCCCGTGACCGGCAGGATACCATGAGGTGAATCAAAACTAGGTGTGTGCCATCACCTCTGGGCCAGGTCTATCTTCGCGTTCCGAGGCCACGTTCTACGTCCCGAAGGAGAAAGATCGAATCTCGATCGGTAAGCGAGGTTGGCAGAATAGACGAGTGTCTGCAAAGAGCAATTTACGAGCGGCAAGTAAAAAAAATACAAAACATTAGAGAACATAACAATCTCTGTGGAAAATATGAAATGTGTTTC